CTAAATAAACGTATCTCGTTAAGGTGTCGAACCCATATAAAAGGATTGGGAATACCGACCCAAGCTGTATTTAAAAGTACTCTTCACTCTTTGTATTACTTCTGTGGTCTACTTAAGTAATTGTTCCTCATTATACCACTTTACTAGTACATTTAAGTAACTTCCCTCTACCTACACCACTTTACTAGTACATCCAAGTAACTTCCCTCTGCCTACACCACTTTACTAGTACATTTAAGTAACTTCCCTCTACCTACACCACTTTACTAGTACATCCAAGTAACTTCCCTCTGCCTACACCACTTTACTAGTACATTTAAGTAACTTCCCTCTACCTACACCACTTTACTAGTACATTTAAGTAACTTCCCTCTACCTACACCACTTTAATACAGCAGCATTAAGCAACTTCCCCACCACACCACTTTACTAGTACATCCAAGCAACTTCCCTCTACCTCACCACCTTTAATACTAGTACATCCAACTTCCCCTCTGCCTACACCACCACACAGCATTTAAGTAACTTCCCCCACCTACACCACTTTACTAGTACATTTAAGTAAACTTCCTCACCGCACCACTTTACTAGTACATTTCTAGCAAACTTCCTCTACCTTTACTTAGTACATTTAAGTAACTTCCCCCACCTCACCACTTTACTAGTACATCCAAGTGAATCTTCCTCTCACCACCTTTACTAGTACATCCGCCACTCCCTCTGCCTACACCACTTTACTAGTACATTTATAATCTCCCCTGCCTTCACCACTCTTACTAGTACATCCAAGTAACTTCCCCTGCCTACAATTTACTTCATTAGTAATATTTAAGTAACTTCCCTCTACCTACACCACTTTACTAGTACATTTAAGTAACTTCCCTCTACCTACACCACTTTACTAGTACATTTAAGTAACTTCCCTCTACCTACACCACTTTACTAGTACATTTAAGTATCTTTCTTTCCCTAAATAACTTATACCTGTACACTTAATTGGATTTTCACCTGTGATTTACGAACTTTACCTGTACATTTAAATTCACCGGTGATTTACGAACTTTACCTGTACACTTAATTGGATTTTCACCTGTGATTTACGTAAAGGTATGTTCATTTCTTTATCAAACTGACAACTTTCTCTCTGTTGACAAATTAACCCGTTTTGTATTTATTGTTCAGTGATCCGTGATGCATCCTTAGACCTGCTACCACACAGAATCCTAGCGTGGGAGGAGGAGGAAGAGGGAAGAGGAGGCGAAGAGGGGAAGGAGAGGGAAGATGAAGAGGGGGTGTAAGGAGGGATGAGAGGATGGAGAGGGAGAGAAAGAGGAGGAGGAGGAGGAAGAGGATATAGGTAAGATGAGGAAGAGGAGATGTAAGGAAAGATGAAGGGGAGAAAGATGTAGAGGAGGAAGAGAAGAGAAAGATGAGGAGGAGGAGGAGGAGGAGGATAAGTTAACTCGTTTTTTTTCTTCTTCAGTGATCCTTGGTAGAGATCCTTCCTCTCCTCCCTCACGCTGGAGAATAAATCACACAAACAAGTCGTAGTGTGGGAGGAGGAGGAGGAGGAAGAGGAAGAAGAGGTGGAAGGGAAGAAGGGTAGAGGAACAGGAGGAGAGGTAGGAGGAAGAGGAGTGGGGAAAATGAGATAGAGAGAAGAGGAGGAGAAGAAGAAGAAGGAAGACTAACATTCATAATCAGTAATTCAGTCTTGTACCAATATGGCTCACCTACACCTGTCTATGTATATTAACCCCCCAGGCAGCAGCACCAGTCACTCTTATAAACTCTCTTCACACAAGCTGGTAAAAGATGACTTATTTCCTCCTTATTAAAACATCTAATTCATCTTGGGAATGATTTATCGGCTATAATGGAGTGAATATTTACCGTATATGTTGGTGTGGTTGACTGACATGGCCGCCTTCTACGTGAAATATTAATTATAAGGTTTTTGAGAGAGTGTTGGGTATGGGCGCCCAGATGTGTAAGATGGTGGGCTAAGGTTCTCCGCCAATCAGAGATCACGTCTTCATCCGGGGTACTGGCCAACCTCTCACCCACGGATGATCGAAGCTTCTGCTGTTTTAACACCCTGCGATGATTTTAATCCTTGTCTAAATAACAAAATACGAACGTTTGTCTACAGTTGATTTATTAATTAATCCATAAATAGGTGAATTAATTGTATATATCATTTAAAAAGTCGCGTAGAGGTGTAAAAGTGAGTGAGAATTAAGGAGAATTGCGTGGGGGTGGGAAGGAGGAGGGGCTGAGTGAGGTGGGCAGAGCAGCAGAGAGCCAGGCGAGGGTGTAGTGTTATGGTCCTCCCTCAGTCTCCTCACTTCACCGCTCGCCGTCCTCCAGTCAACACAGGTCGGGGCCTCCAGATCGTATTTAATAAACTAGTCTAGTCGACCTACACACAAACCCATACATCATGAGGGAAATTCTTCATCTCCAGACCGGCCAGTGCGGTAACCAGATTGGATCAAAGGTAAGCTAATTCATCCTGGGTTTCCTTATGTGTGTTGTGATTTTTCGCATATAATGAAGATATGTTTTAGTATGTAGTGAAGATATTAGAAGGTATTACTGTTGTTAGTATTGTGAATGGTATTAAGTACAGCGGAAGACTCTTGGTGTGCTGTCCTTAGTCAAATCGGCTTGCGTTTTACCGTCATCGTCTTGTTAACGTTGTGAACATCTATCAAACACACACACACACACACACACACACACACTTGCCTTGTTGGTCCCCCGTCCATATTATGATTTATGAGTCACGTGAAGATTAGGCACCCCAGCTTAGTTCTCCCTTATGATTAACCACCCTAACCCAATCCCCACAGATAATGTTAATCATCCGGTGTAAATAAGCTCGGGTGGCTAATCTTCAGGTGATTCTATTTTACAAGGTTACACTGGCTTGGTTATGTCACGTTCTTGTCCCCTCTACTCTCTAGGGTGCAGGAAGGGCGGTGGTCTGTATTCTTTTCTCTAGTTATTGGTCTCTATATTGCTTCCCTTTTCATTCAGTTTATCTTATTGTCACTTTCCTTAACTTACTGTCTCTCTCTCTCTCTCTCTCTCTCTCTCTCTCTCTCTCTCTCTCTCTCTCTCTCTCTCTCTCTCTCTCCCTCTCTCTCTCCACAACAACAACAAAGACAGGCGGACACCATCGTCAACTCACCCAGAGTAAAAAAAAATCTCAGAGAGCGTGGGTCTTCACCATCATCTCTTCCCCCTTATTATCAGTATCTCAAGGTCACACTAAAGAGAAAACGGATATAGTAAATGATGGTAAAGGAATAACTAAACTAAAATAACACAAAGACGAGACTTAAAAATTTGTCGCAGTAAAGCTAAGAGCAATCGTGTGTGTTTACTTTGTCGATCTCTATAGAAAACGCATTTAGTGTACGCAGTGCAGAGGTAACGCAAGTATCTGTTTCCAATATGTCAAGGGTTCGACTCCTGTCTGGCTCATGAACTCCAGTATGTGTGGGGGGGGGTGTTACGGGTCAAATCAGGTCAAATAAGGGTTGAGTCATAATAATAATACCTGATTGGGGCCTATTAAGACACGAGTCCCTAGTAAGATTAGATCCCAATAGAGAAGGCTAGATTAGGATTGGTTAAGGGCCCATTAGGATTGGTTAAGGGCCCATTAGGAATGGTTGAGAGCCAATTAAGATAGAGTGAGGCGCCAGTTGTCCAGTCAGAGAGAGAAATAGTCTTGGAATAAACAATTTCTTGATGTGGGAGGAGGAGGAGGAGGCCGCCGCGGGGAGGGGTGTGTGTTTAATGAGGGAGTGAGACCATCGTAACTTCCTGTTGTGTGTGTGTGTGCGTGTGTGCGTGTGTGTGACCTTCTCCTGGAGTCACGGTGTATGATAACTGCGTCGCTACTGACTGACTGACTGACTAAATAACTGTCAATCTAACTGACTCTTCCCACCTGTCTACCTGCTTGCGTGAGGTATAATGGAGGTCCCCGCTAACACCTACGTGCCTGGCAGGTGTGACAAAAGCCTATACACTTGACAGTTTATAGGCCCGAGCTTGGCATAGCAGGTGGACATATAATCTGGTGTCATGCACGGTCACTACCTGCATGACCTTTGACACAACACTTGTATGACATGACACAGAGCATTTATTATTTCTATATGATACGTGACACTTGACACTAAATATATTCACGGTACAAGAATATCTGCATGACACCACATATCACCAACATGACACACATACCACCACATATCACCTACATGACACATACCACCACATATCACCTACATGACACATACCACTACACATCACCAACATGACACACATACCACCACACATCACCAACATGACACACATACCACTACACATCACCAACATGACACACATACCACTACACATCACCAACATGACACATACCACCACACATCACCAACATGACACACATACCACCACACATCACCAACATGACACATACCACCACACATCACCTACATGACACACATACCACCACACATCACCAACATGACACACATACCACCACACATCACCAACATGACACATACCACCACACATCACCAACATGACACATACCACCACACATCACCAACATGACAGAGGAACATAAAGAGACACACCAGCCACCATTATTTCTCCCCGACTCACTAATGATACGCGGCCACAGCTTAATATACAGAGCATTACTGCCTCTAAGCTTGGCTACGTCAACATGTAAACAGATGGTCAAGATTACATATATAACTGGATTTTCTTTTAACATATTTCCAACTAGCATGGTTAATATTTACAAATGGCCCGCTGTACCTATTAACGAGACTCGACGAGGGAGAAGCGAAAGACAAAGAGATATTCCTAGTCCATAATGAAGAGACTCACACAAGGAAGCGTGTTGGGTGGGTGGGTGACAGTGTAGCATAAACCATAGCGTGTGAGAGCCCAATGTCAACACAGCTCGCTTCGTTACCCTTCCTCCCACCTCTCCCGGATTTAAGACGGATTCAGAACTCACCAGGGTGAACGCCGCCTTTCTAACGACAACATTATACTCAAGCAGCGACCGTCACAACACTGAAATATATGTCCAAGTTATATAGAGTAATTTGACTTCTTGGTAATGAGGCAGGACGTTTCGTTGGGGTTAATTAGCGGAATTTGGGGACATTTTGGGGTCATTAGGGAGAGACAGTGGCAATAGTAGCGCAATGAAGAGTAGGGGAGGGGGTGGGGTTGTAGGTAGGTAAGGGGGGGTAATTATATTGTAGATAAATGAACCAGAGGCGACTTGGTGCAAGATCATGCACATAAAATGGTATTGATCTTGCCTTTGTCTAGACTGAGACACACACACTGCACCAGCTGCTGTGTGGTGCAAGGGCGTGGTGTGTGTGTGTGTGATGTGAGGGCGTGGTGTGTGTGTGGTGTGAGGGCGTGGTGTGTGTGTGGTGTGAGGGCGTGGTGTGTGTGTGGTGTGAGGGCAGTGCACGTAGACCCAGGTATGATGTTCTGTGAGCGGATGTATAGTGCATTTATCCCAGTAGATAAGAAAAGACCAAATCTAACCAAACCCCTCCCCCCCCCCTATAGTGACGGTATGGGTAGAGTCACCTTATATGACAACAAAAACACCTGGCGGAGAGGGAGGGAGGGAGGGGGTGGTAACTTAGCCAACCAACCCCGGTGTAACAACTACATATACTGGTTTCTTTGACTCACAGGTCCTTATATAGAGGTCGATAACTGGGGCCTTTAAAACAACAACCACCACCATCTCTTTCACACAGTTTTAATTACCCCGTCTTACCTGTGGTCGAGTTAATAACTATCATACCTGTATTATTGTCTTATTTTCAATCTTTTAATTCATTCTAAGCACAGAAACAGCTGATGGGTACAGGTGTGTTAGTGACGGAACAAGTGTTATGTAGTGGGGAAAGTTATATCAGTGAAGTCAGTGAGGAAAGGTGAGGACTTTAGGGGTTGTGTTAAGAGGTTACCTGTGAGGCGTGTTGGGGCGTCACGTCACACAGGTAGCATTCCTGGAGGCAATTAATGCATATTTTAACACATGGCGTCCACAGTAACGATCACGCAGCTGAACTGGACTACACACACACACACACACACACACACACACACACACACACACACTCCACCTTCGAGAGTCAACAGGTGAATCGTACTCAAGGGTCAAGTCCTCCTTCAAGATTTAGAGAGAGAGAGAGAGAGTTTTGGCGACAGGTGGGAGTGAAAGGTGGAGGGAGAGAGAGATCAGGAGGGAAGGAAGAGGAGGAGGTACATCTTGGGGGATTTGACCTCGCTTCCCCCTCCCCCCCCTCTTCTCTCCCTCTCATCGCACCCCCTCTTCTCTCCCTCTCATCGCCCCCCATTCCTCCCTCTCATCGCCCCCCTCTTCTCTCCTCTTTCATCGCCCCCATTCCTCCCTCTCTCAATCTACCCCTTCTGACCAGCTGTTGAGGTCATCAGGAGGAAAAGGAGGGGTAAAGTGGGTGGGTGGGGGGGTGGACACACAGTGAGACGAGAGCCTTATAAGGGTACTAGATACAGGACACAGTGCTGACATTAGAGGTCACACACACACACACACACACACACACACACACACACACACTCACTCACCACTACCACCTCACTCACACACACACACACACACACACACACACACACACACACATACACTCACTCACTCACTCACCACTCACACACACACACACACACACACACACACACACACACACACACACTACCTACTCACTACCTACACACACACACACACACACACACACACACTTCTACAGGAGGGGGCTGTATGTGTTGTAGACAGAGATGGTGTACGGAAAGGAGATGAGGAAGGGGTCACAGGCCCCAGTCCTATTGGGCCCTAACCCAGGCTTATTTTACCCCCACTCCTAACGGGTTTTAAGTCTTGATTCAACCTAACCTAACCTAACCTAACCTAACCTAACCAAAACCTAACCTAACCAAAACCTAATCTAACCTAATCCTAAGGTGGTCCCAATCTTAACGACCCCTAATTTTAAAAGTAAGGTCAGGATTGGTTGGAGCCTAATAGGACTTAAGGGTGGGGGGGGGGGCCTTGCAATACACTGAAACAATCCCATTACCGACCTCTAATAAAGCTTGCACGTTGATGGAACATAATGATGCAATATTGCAGGACATTATGTAAATTTACAGGTACCCCGAGACAAACGGCCCTTTCTTATTGTTTTGTTTGTACTGTACGTGCCGGGAGGTGACTGTGTGTGTGTGTGTGTGTGTATGCGTGTGTGTATGTGTGTGTATGCGTGTGTGTGTGTGTGCGTGTCTCCATCAAGTCAGTATTTACCGAGCGTCAACAAACCGCCCGCCATGTTTGATATTCCTGTTCCAATATTTTTTCTTCTAGTGGCCGCCTCTTGCTGAGTAACATACCTTCTAACTCTC